AAAAAATATTGAGCCCTGTATGATTTTCTTGATCCTCTAAAGGAAAGATTTTAACAACAATCAGATATTTATATCACATGGATATTCCAGAACAATGGTTCTTAAACTGTTTGACCCAATTACTCCTTCTCCCAGTCTCAAATAATGTCATTATTCCCACAGAAAAACCCAGACTGTTTTGGCAGTCCCCAAAAGAATCCTCCACTCACCAGTTTAAGAACCACTGCTCTAGAAGCAAATGGATGGACATTAGTGGGGGGTGGGGGGAAGGGAACTAGTATTGACAGATGAAAATTTAAAATTCTATATGCATTCAAATCTTGATCAGAAAGGGTAGACACAAAACCATAACTCAGTATTTATAGGAATATTTTTCATATTGGTAGAATGCACTGCAAGCTATGACATCTGAAAATTCACCAAACTATTCTTATCCATCAGCCTCCACAAATGGATCTTTCCATCTGAAGAAAAGTTAGAAGCCTGTACGATTCCAAATCCAATCAAGCAATGATCTGACAGATTTGCTTTTGGCATTTGCAATGCAGATTACTCTCTTCCTGCCCAGAATAGAAAAACAAACTGCTGCAAGCATCATGTCAGATATAATCTGACACATACAGACATAGATATACAAACATACATACATGTATCAGTTCACACACACCACCTGACATGTGGAAAAGAGAAAAGACTTTCACTCTGGAACAATTACTTTACCTTCTCTACACTGAAGCAATAGAACAAAAGCTAGCTAGCCACAAACAATCTTTGGGCTTCAGCTGAACCAAAGACCCTAGAGTTTATATTTCAGTGTTGGTGTTGGCTTACTACTGTGGTCTTCTGATATAAAAGAAATTATATTTATTTGTGCAAATTTTGGAGACATCTTCCCAAATGCTATCTGTCTGCATTCAAGCATATCAGCAATTCTTAAACATTTTGGTCTCAGGGCCCCTTACATTCATAAAAATGATTGAAGACCCCTAAGAGCTTTAGTTTATGTGGGTTACATCTATTGATATTTATTGTATTAGAGATTAAAACTGAGACATTTTAAAATATTTATTTGACTTTGTGGACTCCCTGAAATGGTCTCAGGAGCCCCCAGCGGTTCCCAGACCACACTTTGAGAACTGTGTGGATGTGTGCCCATTTTTTCAAGGGCATTACTGATTCTTGCTTGAATTATTGTGCTACTCTACAATCTCATTTATGTAGCAAATTATACAAATAGATGGTTCTGTCCTGTGAACAGGGTTTAACTATAATAGTATGCTCACCTTACAAATTTCATTTGAAAAACTAACAGTGAAAGACACTTGACTGTGTTATATAAAAGGGAATTTAGAAGAACCCAGTGTAGGTTTTATCTTTGCATTCAACTTTAGTATAGTCTTCCACAATCTTGTATCTTCCAGAAGAGCTGGGCCTACTACTCCAGGATTCCCAGCTATGTTGGAAAAGGCTACTCTATTACATAAAACTATGCTTCCAAGAAGCTATATGAATGGCTAGAGGATAAACTCAAAATAAAAATAAATTAGATCTTCTGATGGATTTGCTGCATTTGGAAAGTATTATTATAACATTTTGCCAAAAAGTCATAGCAGAAATAATGTCATTCTAGCTGCATAAGATAGATGGGTGCAACATGCTTTTATACCTTTACTGCCATTCCCAGAACTCAGGGTTCTTTAAATATTAATATCACTCTATAAATATATAGGATTAAATTATGAGACCACATAAAACATTAAACTATGGAAGTTACTAATCTCATTCATCAAATTTTAATTCCTCTTCGAATTGGTAAGATCAGCAGGATGTTTCTTGTCTAGAAATTTGAAAATATTATATTGTAGCAATTCTTCAACGTACTCAACAGAAGTCAATTCACATTTGTTATGATGGTGGTATATGTAACACAAAGTTAGCAGATAAATTGCTAAATGGAGAACAGGACAACTATTTTGACGCATACTATTGATAAGGAATGAGGTCCTCTGCAGCTTTGAATAAGTTTCAAGAAGCTTCACTTAAAATATTTCTATGCTACCTATAACAATGAGTTAGAAACAATTCTTCTCATCAAATTTAAAAATTACAACATACCAATAACTTTCTATAATATGGAAAATGAAGCCTCCAGATGAACTGCATAAGGGACAAATACAAAATCGTACATTTGGGTAGGAAACTTCTAAAACATGAATACATGATAGGAAGGCCGTAATAGGCAATAGGAAATGCAAAAAGGGTCTGGGTACCTTGGTGGATCACAAGCTGAACTTGAGCCAACAGTATAATAACAGCAGCTGTAAAACAATCAAATGCAGTCTTAGGCTGCATAAAAGTATAGTGTCATGATCCAAATAATTAATCATTCCTCTCTCTCCAGATGGTCAGATCATTCCTCTCCATTCCAGATGGTCAGATAATATCTAGATTATTGCATCCAGTTTTGGGCACCACATTTTAAAAAGGATATTGACAAACTGGAGCATATCCAGAAGAGAGAAATAAGATGACAAAGAGGCTGAGAGGAAAAACTGATGGAGGAATAGTTTGAGAAGTTGGGTATATTTAGACAGAAGAAAATAGTATGAGGAGACATGATAGCTAGCTTCAGGTACCTGAAGGACAGTCTGTTTAAACAAGAAGAATTCACTTGCCCCCAGGCAGGCTGTTCCATTGTTGAACAGTGCTTACAGTTAGTACATCCTTCCTGATGTTTAATGCAAATCTACTTTTATAGTGTTCTTGTCTTGTCTTCTGGAATACTCTGAACACTATAAATAATTTTGTCCGAGATTTTATTACCAAGCATATATTATAGATCTCCAGGATTCTATAGAATATGTTGTCACCTGATACTTTATTTTTCCCTCACAGTCTTCCTCACTATTCTCACTTCATTATTTTTGCCCATCAGGTAGCATCTATTATTTCCAATTGAAATTCCTCCTAACTTGTATGACTGTGTTTTATAAAAAATTCACATAAACACACACTCACTCCCATAAGCAAAGGTATCATGCTTATGATGCACTATTATTTAATGTTGGCTCTTTCATTGTTCCTTCCAGCTAAATCAAATATCATTGCTTTCATGGTTTCTCCATGGTCAAGTAAAAAGATAGTCTTTGAAAAATTAACTTTTGAGGACAATAGAGTTCAATATGCTTCATTTTACAATAACATTATTTAACTTTCAATTTAAAATAAATAATGTTCACCATTAAGAATATGAATATGTGAATGAAGCCATCAGGTTTCTAGCTTTATAGCTTTATCTTCAAACTGGTCTGAAAAGCTTTAGGAGCACAAAATTTTCAAAACTATTCTGTTAACACATGCAAATATTTTGTCAAGCCATAAGTATTCAACAGCTGTGACTGCTAAATCATGAAGATCTTGAGATGGTATTTGCAAAACATTTCTTTACATTTCAGAAGATGAGGCTGGAAGCTCAGTGTCTTCCCAGATAATTAGTGCTAGACTGTTCATTTCTTTGAACGGGGGCATCAGATTATTATTCTTGTATTCTATTGTCTTAATTACTATCTCCCTTTTCCTGGCAACTGCTGGCAGGACTACAACATGTTTGTACTTAGGTTCAGTTTTCAGTGTTAACTGCCTCATAGAACAATAAGTTTAACTGGATGAAATAATGTTGATTACCCTAATCTGTATGTACATGTATTTTTAAAAACAGCATGCAGATTTTCACTTCCTATTAGACAAGTACAGATGGTGCACCTTTCAGCATTACCGCCCACTCATGTAAAGAAAGGGGCAACATCGAATGAGGAAGAATAACTGAACCATTTTCAGCTCCCTTTCCTTCCTTCCCACGCTGTTTAGGAGGGAGAATGGAAGGATCTCTGACAGCAGCACTGGAGAGAATTGTAAGGGAACCAGCCCAGGATATTCAACCAAGTCTGATTTGCTCTGCAAATCAGGCAAGTTCCCCAGCGCCAGCAAATGCAAACAAGGTATCAGTCAGCCATCCCCTTTTGGACAGTGGTGCTTATAAGACTCCCTATGCCCTTTTTTGCAGCCTTTCCTCCAATGTGCATCTCTTTTAAGGCAAAGGCAGAGTACCCCTCTGACTAGCACATTCTGAAAGCACTGCTCAGTTGCCCTAGAATTGTATCCTGTTTCCTAATTCCTCCACACCTGCTGCACGCCCAAATCACCTTTCTCTCCCACCTTCTCCAGTCCGATGCCCTCTAATTGGATTAAGATTATAACTCCCCAAATTACTACCTTTGCCCTTGCTGTTTAGAAATCCTGGAAGTTATAGCCCCAGCATATCCGGAGGGCACAGGTTCCAGACAGCTGTTCCAAGCAAAACTAGAATTCGCACCACCCCGCTCCCACCGCTGTCTAGGAATGTCCAGGTGTCGTTTTCTGTCGAACAGTGCGCTCTACGCCTTGACCACTGCTCTCCAGCCAACGCTCCCCTGCATTACAGGCGAATGCTCCCCAACCTGCCTTGCCCCAAAGGGCACCATCGCCCTCTCTTTTTTGCATGGGAACGCTGGGACCGGTCACCTGCACGGTTTTGTCTAGGCATCTTCTCTGCGTAAAATCACCCTCCGCCTTAGCAGACCGAAGACTGGACAGCGCCACCGAGCCTAAAGATCATGGCA